CTCCCGGAGTGTGGCGGGGATGGGCATTCAGAGGCCTCCATGCCAGATGTCTGTCTGGGTAATGAACTCTGTGAGCATTAAGGATAGTGGACTTGTTCCATCTGAAAGTGAAAGGAGGAAGTGAAATGGCATGGCTGTCCCACTGGCCAGTCTGCAGCCCAAACAGAAGGGACACGTGGCCTCTCCAGCTGGAGCTACACACTCAGACCGTGTGAGGACGTTGGAAGTGAGTGGGATGCGGAGAGGGTTTGCAGCACTTCTTTCCAGGAAGGGCACTGGAGAGCAGTGTCTAATCACCATTGCCTGGGAGGGACGGTCCCCTTCCCCACGCTCCTCTCCCCTAGGGTGGACCCTGCACCTGTCTGTGAATACTCAGTGGACCCTGTGCCTGCCCAAACACTCTCATTACTCACGCTATGTCACAGGGGAACCAAACCTGGTCAGTTCAGTCGGTATTGCTGAAGAACAGCCATCACTGAGGACACACATGCAGACAAAGAAAGACTACAGCAGAGGTGACAGCTAAGCCGTTGTCGTCGGCACTAACCAGGCAGTGGGGCCCAGAGTGGGGCTTTCCTAACTGACCTGGCGGGGAGTGAGAGTCCACCTTCACGGTCAACTCTCTTCCTGGAGCAAGACCCACATAGGGTCGCTTCTAGCACAAGCTCCTAAAAGTGGGATACTTGGTAGACATCTTCGATGACAGTCTTCAAGACACCAAGTGTCAGACAACAACCACTACCAAGGCTAAGGCCAAAAAGCGAATCACAAGTCACTGAAAACACTTCTGGAGAAGCTGAGAAGAGACAGCTTAGAGCGATGGCTTCCTGGTTATCTCAACTGATTCAGGGCAGGGCACGGGGACATCGAAAAGAGTGGCCATGCACCATTTCGCAGATGACCAAGCACTGAAAGTTCTGGCAGGGATGGAGGTCCCCTCAGGAGCACCGGGCCTGTAAGGAGTGGGGCTGACGTCTGCGTGCTGAGATTTCAAAATGGTGCTGGCCTCGGACCTAGGCCCTTCCCATAGGCACAGGCAGTTGAGGTGCCTGCTGAAAGATACACTATTTTCTGCATAAATACACTAAATATATAAAAATATAATTCACTGTATTACATTAAAATCTGAAAAAAAGACAGGTCGATCAGTATCTCCAATATATATGAAGTACATTCAATTCTTCATTTAAATTATTCCAACAGAACAGGGAGCCATTTCCGAGGTGGAGAAGGACCAGGCTGAGCTCAGCTCCTAACAGCAGCACTTGGCCAGCATGACAGTTGGGGGAAGGCGGCGGAGGACACGCCAGGCTGGCCGTGTGGTACGGGGCAGGCATCTGACCTGAGTCAGATCTCTGGCTCCTCTCGAGGGGAACAGCTCCAACCTTAAGGTCCCAACTGATACCACAGGGCTGGGGCAGCTCCTAGGGGACAGTACATGGAGGTGGCATGAGGGTCCTAAAGGGACTAGGCCCCTAAGACTGCAGAGAGTAAAAGCAAACCCAGGGGGTGAGGTAGGGAGGGAGGAGGACTGCCCAGCAGGAGCTCCACCTCCCAGCTGAGACTCTAGTCACAGCAGACCAAGAAGGGCAATCTATAGTGACCCCAAGAGGACCAGCAACAGCTGGCCCAACGGTGAACTACAGAGCCATTCTAGTGTTTTATAAAGCGCTCCAGGTCCTGAGTTACGGACGCTGAGGCTCTGTGCGCATCTCTTGTTGTAGCTGTGGACATCTCACCGTTATGTACCACGTACAATGTTGAAGCACAGAGTTTGCTGATGGTTCTCATTGTCAGATGTCCCTTTATAGATAGATGTTCAAAGATTGAAATTACGGAGCTAATCGTAACAAAAAGCAACAACAATGAAAATTTACAAATAAAGGTACACTCACTCCTCACTTTACATCATCATGTCACTACTAAGTGAAATCATGTGACTGCCAAACCACGAGGATCGTGGCCAGTCCAGGTGACACGCAGCCAGAACCAGCAGTGTCCCCTCACTCCTCCTCAGTCACTGCTACACGTATGGCCTTAAGGTGACAAATAGCTGGGTGGATTTTTACTGTATTTGCAAATGCGAAGTCTCCGATTACAAGACAGTAAGAGAAGAGCAGGTGTACACATGTATACGCAACTGATGCCTAGTCCACTCGGGGGGCAGTCACTGGAAAGAAACCCCTACCTGCACTTGGCTCTGCACAAGCCTGCTTCTTCATGTCATGTCCAGCGTCAGCACATGTGTACTTACAGTCACAGCTAACTTGTAGAAACTCTAAAAGGACGCATTAGAGTAATAGCGTAGGAGAGGTTGTCTGAGGGACCGCTGGGCCGTACCTTTTTCATGCATGTGGCTTTCTGCGTATTTCCCCTCCACTCTTTCTTGCAGTAGTCCATGATGTCCACCTCAGGAGCTACACTTAATCTGAGTTCTGTGAAGGAATCAAAATTAAAAAGAGGAAGCTAATGAAACAAGCCACATTACGGCAGAAGCACTGCTGTAGTGGGTGATCGGCCTTCCTCTCGTTGTCTCACTTCCCCAAACAGTCAGAATCCCATGGCGATCGACCCTGGGGCCAGACACCAGCGCCTCTGCTAAGGGAGCACTGCGCCTCCACACCCGACAGGCCCTGCTCCCTCACTCCGTGCAGGTCTCTACTCAGCTGTCACCTTCGCCCTCAGGTACATCACATCACACCACACACACACACACACACACCGCGCACTCGGGGTTCCCCTGGTCATTCTTGGTTTTCCTTCCTGGTGATTACCTACACCTGACCTGGTTATTTTGTATACCACCCGGCCCCGCAGCATGTGCACACACACACACGCACGCACGTTGAATGAAACACAAGCTCTGTGAGGACACGGGTTTGGCTGCTTGACTGTGCCCTTGGAACGCAGAACTGCACTGACAAACACATGTTGATGAACATCAGAGGTGCACTATTGTAGGTTATGAGAAAAGACAACCACTGATGAGGGCAGTTCTCACACAAAGAGAACACCTAACAAAAAGAACAGCTGTCTGTACTGATGGACATTCGGCCCGCAGCCCCAGTGACCGCTCTCCACGCTCCTTTTACCGCACAGCTCATCAGACTCAAATGAACACATGCCCTAAAATTACAAAAAAAAAGACACAGGCAAGAATGGACACTAGATTGTCTAACTTGTGAGGCTCGGGTTACCTTGTGGCCTGAACACACGCACCCACATGTGTACATCTGTCTGTCTCAGGAAAAACGTGAAGTCAACTCTCAGGAACACACTGACTTCCTTTTTAAGTAACTGAAGATGTGAATTGCTCTTTTTGTCAAAGTGCAGTGAAGTCGGTTCTGACTTGTAACAACCCTGCATAGGGCTTCCAAGACATTACATCTTTTGTGGGAGCAGAAAGCCTCATCTCTTTCACACAAAGATGTGGTAGACATGTGCCATCGAATCGGTTCTGACTCAAGAGTGACGCAGTAGAGGATTTCCGATGAGCAGTTGATGGATTTGAACTGCTGATCTTGTGATTCAAAGTCGAGTGCTGATCTAACAGCCCATAGAGAT